CTTTTTTTCAAAATATTATCACTAAAACTCCTTTTTTAGAATAATTAACCAAACTTTCACTTTTTTATTAATAAATTTTTTTAAAACTCAAAACTCTTTTAATTAAAATTAATCTCTCTTTTCACAAATTTAAATCCTTGGTTAAAAAGACCATAAAAGTCCTCCAAAATTCATACGGTTTGTTTCTCGTTCAATTTTGATTTCGTTTTCGTCTAACCCCACATACTGACATTTTTGTTTGTTTTGTTTCTTGCAGCTATTATGTTCAATTTGAAACTTATTTTCGGTTTTATATTTAGCTATTATAATTGTAACTGCTTATGGGATGTAATTGTGCGAGACAATTGTCGCATTTATCTTTCCGCACTTTATTTTCTGCCGTTGTATGTATATTTAATTTCATCGCATCTTTATAATTAATTTCACTCCTCCGAAGGAATTAGGTCTAGCCGTTTGACCGCCGTGTCAATAGTCCTCAACTTCAAACCCTCACAAACCCTAATTTTCACAAATGCCTCGCCGCAGGCAAGATTACAATTTTACCCCTAGCATTAGGTCAAAGAGCCGCCGCGCTCATTTTAGGGTTTCCCGCCGCGGAATCCCTAACCTAACCTAATTTAACCCTAATTACAACTTAACAATTACAACATAGATATTGGAGTTTCTACACTCCACGTAAGCGTTGTCCTTAAGATGCGTTTATTCCCCTTGAGACCTTGACCACAGTCAAGAAGTTTCTAACCTCCCTATTGAGGGGAACTACGATTACTCTGATTCCACTCCCGTAAGGATACGTAGGCACAAGATGCGATGTCTTGCCGAGTAAACTTAGAATTAACCCCTTAGGTCTCCTTTCTCACTTTTAATCTTTGTACATATACCTTAAGCAAATAAATAAAGCAAGTAGTAAACATCTGAACAAAAGGTTCCTGTAGAGTACTACAGAAGTTTAGGGTGCTAATACCTTCCCTAAATTTAACCAACCCCCGAACCCTAGATCTTCCCCCGCGTTGTGTTTACGACGCAAAAATAGGTTTTCCCTCTTTTGACCTTTTCCTTCGGATAAATCAAAGAGCGGTTGTGAATTGAATTGCGATTCAAACTCATTAATAGTTTGATATCCTATTTCCACCGCAACAATACCCAATGAATACACATTCATATGCTTTATTAGCGGATTTAACTCGTTTCAAATTCGGAATTCTGACATAAGCCAGACAGCCCAAAGTTCTCAAATAAGACAAGTTTGATTGTCTTTTCTTTAATATCTCAAAGGAGAGATCTTAATTTTTGACTTGGAAACTCTATTCAGGACATAGCAAACAATCAATAAAATTTCCCCCCAATAGTGAGGCGCAACACGAGAAATCATCATAATTTCAACAACAAGTTCATTAAGAGTTCTATTCTTTCATTCTGCTTTACCATTCATTTCAGGAGAATATGGAGCAGTCGTCACATGTACAATTTCATGTTTAATATAAAAGTCATTAAATAAACTGAAACACTATCATGTTCCCCTATCACTATGAAGTATCTTAATCTTGTTTACTAAATTGAATTTCAATTTTATTAACAAAAATCTTAAACATAGTAATTTCATAAAAAGATCATTTTTAGTGATTGTTTAGAAATCTACCCTAAAAGACTGACTAAACCTTGCCTTATTTAGAAGAAAACTAGAAACATGATTCTTTATAATCTCTGAAGTATACTTGACTTCCTTAAAAATTAAAGTCTTTTCAAAGGTGGACATTATTCCACTTCTCCAATACCGACAACATTAGTGGTGTGGATAACTCCCAACAACACTTCCTTATTCGTGTATATTTTAAGCATTGCACGATCATAATAGACATGAAGAGAAGAGCCAATGTTCATCCACCAACAATCAAATTCACCAATCATATTAATTTTAGTGATCAAAGCAATAAGTTACTCATCAATCAGGTTAACCTATGCGTTAGGGGAAACACAAGATTTATACTCGATCTTTCATTTCTTAATCATATGACCTGGATTTCCATTGTTATTTCTTTGTGGTGGTGATTGTTGTCTATCAATTGGAGTAACTCGGGCCCTTGAAAGGTTCTCATTCTTAATTCGGTTCACAATATTGTGGTTCTGATTCTTTAATCATTTGCCAAATAAATGGCTTTAGAACTACACCGAATTTCTTTTTGTTGTTTGAAACAACCAAGACTTTGCTTTTTGATCTCGCCTCCGAGATTCTTTTTCAACTCGAAGGAGAATAATCAGACTCTCAATTAGAAATTCTTTTGTTTTTGTGGTGAAGCATAATTTTTAAGAACTTTCAAACTAGGGGTAATTTCTCAATAATAAAAACAATTTGGAATTGTTCATCTAAACATATACCTTTTATGATGATCTTATAAGCAAACTTTTGAAGTTCATAACATTGAGCCTCCACACATCTTTGATTTATGCCATCTGATATTTTAGGTAACGGCTAACGATATACTTCTTTGTTCCAACTTCCTCGATGTCATACTTCTTTTGCAGAACCTCTCTAACCTGTTTTGCAGTATTGCAGATCATCTGCAAGTCCATTAAAAGTATAATTTTGTAGAGATAATCATTCTCTTTCCATAAGACGATTTCTTTTATGAGCTAAAAATTGTTCACTTTAATCTGTGCAGCAAATTCAGCTTTAACACTATTAAGTGTTCCATCTGAATCCACAGATTTCTTACCGTTCATTTGCTCGGTTGATCCATAAGAAGCAACGAGAATATCATCGCTCATAACGTTGACAACCTTTTTTCCAAAAAAAATGCAAATTTTGTTGACAGCATTTGAAGTGACTTCCCTCAAACTTAAACGATTTATTAGAGACAACAATCGCAGAAGTACTAATAATTTCTTCGATAGCCATGGCAGTTTGAAACGTCTTAAAATTGTTGTTTCACGGTTTTGAAAATTAGCCACAGAAGAAATTACCAGGTCGAGTCGCGGACTAGGTCGCTCTCTTTAAAACATTTCACGGCACTGCCCAAAATTATGCAAAGCAGTCAAACTACCGCACCGCCTCCAGGATAAAATAGCTCAGTTCTATATTGTACGATTACTACTTGCATGGTAGATAATCGATCTAGAACTATACCCTCTGATGGTACAAAGATCATTTGAATATGGTTAGTACCACTCGCAATATCTAATATAATAACCCGTCGTAATAATTTCTTAAACCAAGAAAATTTTCAGTAATTCTCCAAAGAGAATTTAATAATGGTCATTGACCACTCAAGATGATTTTTCAAACAAAAAAATTGAATAATTCTCTAAAGAGAATCCAAAAATTATACTTGATAATTTCTCAACTCAAACGAGAAGAAATTAACATAATTATCTAAAGAGAATTCAAGAAAATACTCAGAAAATTCAACGAGTAGAAAGAAAGGGGGAGAAATTGGCGCTCGACAATTCAAAAGACACAAAGTTATGATAGTGAGGAAGGAAAAAACTCAAAATTAGTTTTTTTGTGTTTTTGAGTGGAATAGAGAATTTTCTTATATAATGAAGTGAGGAAGAAAATAAATCTCATCTAAACAATATGAGACTAAGGAGTTTTTTCAACTAACACACAATGTGAAACTTGTCTTAAGAAACCTTTTCAAATTTATCTCCCTACATTAGAATATTGACATAATGTTCCAACAATATATATATATATATATATATATATATATATATATATATATATATATATATATATATATATATATATATATATATATATATATATATATATATATATATATATATATATATATATGACACATGAACACTTACAAATTTGATCTTATTTTCTTATAAATAGACTAAAAATTAAAAGTGTGTGACATAAATGCACTTATATTATTGTTTTTAAAAGAGCGGAATTTTTTTATAAATAGACTAAAAATTAAAAGTGTGTGACATAAATGCACTTATATTATTGTTTTCAAAAGAGCGGAATTTTTTTTTTTTTCATTTGTATTACATACGAAACCGGAAAGAGTAATCTAATTTATGAAAGAACTCTACCGGAAAATAGTTAACTTGTGAAGCAAGCTAACTGATTCCTATTTAGATTTTAATGAAAAACTAACTTTTACATGAAAATAGTTAGCAAGCAAACTAAAGTGTCCGTTATTCTAATGCCTTGATCATATATTTGTTTATCTATTGATTACTAGTATTTTATACTAGTAGTATTATTCTGTGCCAGTTTTAGCTTCCTGCAAACCCATACACACATGGCTTTGCATATCCTATTATCTTTTCCCAAATTCCAATGAAATCGATCTTCATGTACTATGCCATTGAAATTTGAAATTATACTGAAAAGAATCTCTGTTTTTTCCTTTCCTTTTTCTGCAAACTCTCATGCCGTGCGCTTTTCATTTTCTCATTCCCTTCTATCAACCGATGCTAAACGACACTTACAATCTGTTTAGCTGGTAGCAAAACGACGACAACTGCATTTCCTACCCTGGCATTGTAATGATAGAACTAATACTATTATGCTGTGCTGTGCTGTCCTACACCAGCGTTAGTTCTGATTCCTCATTGGAGGCTCACCTTTCAAGTTTCAATTAAAAATGTCTTCACATACATACACACGTGCACCTGGTCACTTAGAAAGTAGAGCCATATCCAGCTCAAACAATTCATCATATAATAATTGGAGCAAAATGAAGCAAGTATAGAAGTTCACAAGAGATACAATAATAGGTAAGGTAAAATGAAATCCATAACCATTCAGCAATAGTCTACTAGATCATAACAATATTTAACCGTTGATCATTTATTATGATTTTTGTATATAAAAAGGATAGGATGGTCATTAGCATGTAAAATTCAACCTGAACCTTTTCAAATATTTTGTGCACTTTGTTTCCCAGTACAACGCGTTTCCCAAATTCCTTGTTTTTAACCCAAAAGAGGGAAAAGCAAAACCTCATATTAAAAATTAAAATTAAAAAAGGAAAAAAAATTCATGACCGGGAAACTGACTGAGCCAGTTTCTCAATTCTTTCCACAAGCTCCGGCGATAGCTTCTTTACCGGTTTCCTTTCCTTTTCAGGTCGAAAATCAAACCCAAAAGCTTCGGTAACCTCTTCGGAGCTCCACCCAGCTTTTCGGAGCGAATCAGAAAACCGATCCGTTTTCAATAACAAAGCATCCAACACCGCTTGATTATCCAACATCACCATTTCCCCTTCGAAGAATCCACAAGCCGAAACTTGAACCATTTCGGTTATATCCGGTTCGCTCCACCCACCTCCTCTCAAAACCGAACCGATTTTCCCTATGTATTCATCCACCCAACCCGGAATTTCAGACTGTGCATGATGAATATCAAAAAACCGCTCCGGCGAAGATGATACGGATGACAACGAGTTCCTCCGGCGACGATCTGTTGCGGCTTCTGTCCAGAATTCCACCCATCTAGGCATCCTCCCTCCGTCGAGACTCCTCCGAGAGAAAGCAGTTGAAGAACCAGCGGATGTCTCGCTAACGGATCGTTGTTTCATGAGAGTCTTCGGGTCGGATTCGGAGCTTCGAAAGAGAGACTCCCGTTGAAAGAAATCAGATAGATCAAAACCACAACAGAAGATCCTATTCTCGTCGACGTAGAAAATAGGATTCCCGGCGAGTGAAGGATTTGAAGGAATGTAACAATGGTTGAAAATAGGAATCAGTAACGGAGCTTTCTTCAAAGCGTTTCTCGCAACTCGCAATGCTTTTTCAGGTTCTGTAGGTCTTAATCCCCAAGATTTCGACCAGAACGCGTTCCTTGCAATCTGAAAAGAAATAGAAGCGATCGGAAGGTCTAACGAGGCACGGAGACGGAGGCGAGCAGGATTCGATCGCCAGTCAGGAAATCCAGGTCCGACAGGCATACCGGCGGCGAGAATTGCACGGAGGTCCGGTGGAAAAACGAAACCAAACTCCGCCTCTGCACGTGCGAACTCAGCGTCGGAGAGACCATGTTGCACTTCTACGCCTGAGTTATGAAGCTGTGTTATGACTTTATCCACCACTGAAGAAAATGAGAATAAACCGTTACGTTCTGGAAAAGAAGTGGAGGAGGATGAGGAAGAAGACGAAGCGGCTCGGGCTGATAAACGTCTTAAACCAGCTATGTGAGCCGGGTTTAAACCGGTCATTCTCCGGTCTACATCAACCATTGTGTTGAAATTGAGGAATGAGAAGAGATAGTGGTAGTTTGTGTGTATCAGGGGAAGGTGAAGTAGAATGGTGAGTTTTCTGGAAGAGAAGGACTTTAACTTGTACACAATTTCTTGATTTATAGACCAAAGGAATGGACCCCACTTTTAATTTATTTTGTTTCTTTTATTATTTTCCTTATTTGCCCCTTCTCCTTTGGTTATGCTGTGAATTAAAGGCTTTGTCATAGATGGTAAACTTATTATGTTTCTTTGTATTTTGATGCACCAAAATGTTCCATAATATTTGAAACTATATATAAAGCATTCACATTCATCAAGATATATTTTTTAAATAAAACTGTGAGGGTTCACAAAAAGGTATAAATACCAACAATACCTTATTAACTTTAAAAAGAATTAAGTCTCACATGATAAGAAAATGAAAAAGATTTATATTTAATATTTTTACATTAAAAACAATTTTACTTTGAGTAAATGTAATTTATTCATAAAAAGCCATAAAAATATTAATAAGTAGACATATTTACTTATCATTTCGTACGAGAATTAGAAATAAATATTTCAGTTTTTATTAAAGAATCACGAGTAATGAAAATTGGATGATTATTGATATTGAATATGTCTCCTTCACTGTGGCGCGAGATGAATTTGCATGGTTAGTACTCTAGTGTTCAAATCAATTCAAGATTTAAGATAAGTAAATTGAAAACAGAGATAAGAGATTGTGCACCTTCTTATAATGTGTAAACTATTTTTATATATTAAGTCGAGTAGAGTGGACTTGGCATGAATTGAATCTTGGTCAATTAGGCCTTTTGGTCGGTCCAAAAAATCTATCTTAAGATTTTCAATAAATATAAAAAAAAAACTTATATATTTATAGAGAGAGTACATTATTGACAACTTCATTACTGTAGAGTCATTAAGAGTCGCAAGTAATTGATTAGATGTAACTCATTGAGAGCTGTAAGTTAGTGATTGGATGTGAGTCGTATGAAAAATGTATTTCCATTATGCTTAGTGATTATCGGTTTATATATTTTTTTTGTTCGAAATCGTTTATGATTGACATATTACTCATCATGTTTCGCGTTACTTTATTTTACTGAAAGTAACTAATAGAAACAAGTCTTGTGTTTCTTTGTATGAGATCGATAATTTATTATCGTCAATATGTTCTTAAAGTTATATTTGTATATTAAAGTGTATTGACTATCTATTAAATGTGTTGACCTATTTGCTTTGGCCCTTTTATATTGATCTAGATCAACGATGCCCCATATGATGCTTAAAGACTAAGGGTTGGCTTCCTGAGCCAAGGTATAGATTTAACTCGGTCATTTAACATGTCCAACTCGTTTACACCTTATTAGATCATTTGCTAAGTTGTCCTTATTGGATCATTTGCTAAGTCGATTAGGCTGCTTCATGTTCGTACCCAGAAGTTGACCCAATAAATTATTCAAACGGCGTACAATCCCTCAAGCATTAGACTTGTAGAGGCGAGATGCTTTAGGAAGGGGTCTTGAGACACACCCTTGAAAATCTAAGAGGTACTTAATTTCCTAAGCATGAAGTTTGTAGGAGTGAGATGCTTTAGACTAGGGTTTAGAGACACGCCCTTAAAAATTCGGGAGGAACATATCTAAAAAATAATATTTATTGATTGACTCCACAACTTTAACTTACACTCGAATAGTATTTTCAAAAAATCAAGTATCAAGAGAATATTACAAGTTTGTAATAAATAGAGGATTGGAATCATGCTTTACGAATATAAATCTAATAATGCTAAATTGAAAAACATATAAGTTAAATTAACGTCGTGACAGAGAGAAGTGAAATAAAACAATCAATCATTCAATTATTTAACACAATCTCACAAATAATTAGGATTGAACATCACACTATAAACCCTAAATATTACTAAATTAAATAGAATAAAATATTGAAGAAAAAAAACGTACTAGAGCTTAAAAGTTGTCAAATAAAAAACAGAGTTGTTGATAGACTAAAATCAAACTATATTAAAAATGAAATTCATCATATTGAATAGTAAAATGAAAGAGAAGAGAAAATCTTAATAGTTTAAGTCTAAAAAGTCAAATAATATTCAAAGTTGATCCAACGATAAATTAATCGAGAGAATATAAAACATAAATAATTAAAGTATTAATAAGAATGAGAATACGAGTAATTGAAAATATATATAAAGTTTGAGTTTTAATATTCTTGAAGACATATACATAAGATTTTAACTATTCAACAACAAAATACAAAAAGGACCGAGAGAATCACTACAAGGGAGGAAGGAAAGGGGTATTTTATAAGAGGGGATTCAAAGACAACTTCCTAAAGAGAGTTTATCATTGTAATCAAAAACGAAAATGCAAGAATATCAACAAATAATTTTGTATTTTATTTACAATTTAGATAAAATTTAGTTATATATTAATTTTAGTTTTTGTGTTTTTTTTTTATCATGTGTCCATTTTTTAAGATTAAAAATAAGATCTTTATATTATTTGAGATAATCCTATACATAAATACAGTCTTATGGATATAATGCTAAAACATTGGCATACCAAGTAGAGGTCGACAGAGTCAGTGATGTGCAGGTGTAACAAAACTCTTAGCATATGATTATACTGTTAAAAATAGAAGATGATTCAAGTCAGTACAACATGTTAAACTTTTATGTCAACAAGTTACACCTCTTTGTAAAATGTCAAACAGAAGCAAAGTGCAACCAGTTGCACTAATAGTGCAATCGGTTATACCTGTAGCCTTTTTGGTTAAAACTGAAACAGAATAATACAACCGTTTACACTTGAGTGTTTTAGTTTTATTGTTAATTAATTGTATCTCATCTCTTGCATTTTTGTATAAATACCCTTAGGGTATCTTGTGAGATATTAATGAGAAAATCATTATACTTTTTATCCTCAATTACTCTCACTCGTTATCTCCTCATTCCTTTCCACACTTAATTACTCAATTATTTTCACCAAATTTGTGATTCCAAGTTCTAACATTTGGCATAAAAAGTTTGGTTCGATCCATCAAACACCTTGTGTGCAATCAAGGATTCAGTATCCAATGAAAGAATCCATGCAACCTTACCCATCATTGATGCATTAAATTACCGCAAATGGTGCAAGCAAATGAAGGTGTTTTTTGGCTTCCAAGATATTCTTGAAGTGATCAAGAACAATGTGAATCCTCTTGTCGAAGGTGCAATGGATGCACAACGAGGTGTAGATAAGAAAGAGAAGAAGAAAGATTTCAAGGTGATGTTTTTAACTCATCAATGCGTTGATATGAATAATTTCAAGAAAGTTGGTGATTATGAATCATCGAAGCAAGCGTGGAAAATTTTGGAGAAAACATATGCAGGGGTTGATAAGGAGAAGGTGGTGAGGTAACAAACTCACACATGTCATCTTGAATTGATTCAAATGGAATAGAAGGAGGCCATCAACGATTTTACGACGAGAATTACTCGATTGGTGAAACAAGTAAAAACATGTGGAGAAATGATCACAGAGCAGTATGTTATCACGAAAATCTTGCGTTCTTTAACTACAAGATATGATAACGCAGTCGTAGCGATTAAGGAATAGAAGGAACTTGAGGCAATGAGTAAAGAGGAGTTGCATAGCTTTATTGAGGCACATGAGAAGATAATGGAGGAAAAGGAATGTTTATGAGGCAGATGAGGAGATTGCTTTGCAAGCTCGTTTCAATGAGAGAGACAAGAAGGCGAATGGAAAATGTCTCATGAACAAAGGTATATGGAACTTTCAGAATTTTGGTGGAAGAGAGTCCCAAAATTCAAAAAATTCAACATTTCAAAGGGTAAAAACAATGGTAGTAAGGCTGCTGGATCAAATAACTATAGATGAGGCTATGCAAGAGGTAGGTGTGGAAGAAGAATGGTTGACAAGAGCAGTATACAATGCTTTAGTTGTCAAAAGCTTAGCCATTTTGCAAGAGAGTGCAGTTCCAACAAGAAGATGAACCTAAAGTTGCAAGACAAATGTTCAATGAGGATAACACACTCTTGGTTATGATCATAAAAGGATAATGCAACAACAACAGGTTGTAAGACAACAACAACAATTAGAAAAATGTTACAGAACTAAAGTGCAACAGATTGCACAATCATGCCAACTGATTTCATATTAAAATACGATGATGACTTTGAAAGAAGCATTGTAGTATAACGAACATTGGTATTTAGACTCCGGGTGCTCAACGCATATGACAGGGAGAAAAAATTGGTTTTTAAAATCAGTTGTACCATGAAGAATAAAACGAAGTTCATGGATCATACCACTCTAGCAGTGGAAGGGATGTGTGATGTATCAATCAAGAAAAGGGATGGTAGAGATTCTTTAATAAAGAACATGTTGTACATTCCCAGAATCAAGTGTAATCTTCCAAGTATTGGCCAATTGCTTGAGAAGGATTATAAGATTCACATGGAGAACAAGATGATATGCGTTATGGATGCAAATATGATTTTGACCCATAAAGATCCTATGGTTTCTAATAGGAATTTCAAGGTTGAGTTGATGGTTATGGAACATATGTGTCTTGCTACAACGGCTAGGCGAGAAGAGTGGATATGACACTATTTGCTTGGGCATCTCAATTTCCAAGATCTTAATGCCTTATAAAAGAACAGAATGGTAACGAGGCTGCTATTGATCAACATATCGACTGAAATTTATGAAGAGTGTGTGCAAACGAAGCAATACAAGGGAAAATTTAGTAAGGATGCAGGTTAAAGAACCAAGTGTCATCTTGAGGTGGTGCGTTCAGATGTGTGTGGACTGATGCAAGTTGATTCAATTAGTAGCAATATGTATTTTTGTCATATTCATCGACGATCATAATAGAAAAGTATGGACATACCTAATCAAGAGAAACGATGAGGTATTTGATGTGCTTAAGAAGTTCAGGTCCATGGTTGAAAGGCAAAGCGGTTAGAA